AATCATATCAATAATATATTGGAAAATAATGTTTGTAAAGAGTCAAGACACCTAATTTTGGTAGTTGTAACAATTCTCATCAGGAAATATTACTCAAAGCTGTGGAAGAAAATAATGTGTTGCCTACCACCATACTATAGGGCACTATCTGAAAGTTTAGTGAATAAGTGGTGTTTGTTGGTTGACATTCTTTATAATCTCAAAAATATAGGGCACACAACATCACACATGGGGAGATATAGAACCAATGCTAGAAAATGTATAAAAGTAATGTAATTGGGGATGGATAATAATTAAATATGAAATTCAAAACGTACCTCTCGAATCTCAATGTTAAGCCTTAATTTTGGTATTTTGGATCTCAATTAAGAGAGAAGATTGGATGAAGAGATATGATATCTTCGAGTTTCCTTCGGTGAAGAAGATCACAAGACCTAATTGAGAGAGCGTATCGGCAGAATCTTGAGACGATGGCGTTAATTTTGAATTTCCTTCATCCAATCTTAACGAAAAGACATCGTAAATCTCAGAGCTCAAGTTTCCTTTTGTTGCGAAGATATAGCGTAAATCTTGGAATTTCCTTCGATGAAGAAAGACCCTAGATAAGATTTCCTTTCTTTTACGTGAGTTTCTACGTGAGCTTTCTTCTGAAAGAGAGCCCTAGTAGTCTTCATAGTATAAGTGACATGTGGCAATGAGGTGTCAAAAAATTACACTTTAGAGGGGTGCATTCAATTAGAATTTTATTGAATTTTTTTAGATTTCAAAAAGTTAGTGGATTTGAAAAAAATTTAGTCATGTAGAGTTTGGTTGATTTTTTGTAGAATCCATGTAGAGTTTGAAAATTTTGTAGAATCCATGTAGAATTTGAAAAATATGTGTGTAGAATTTTTGCACCTTCTCCGTTCGGCCACTGACTTCAATTTCCTTGAGGAGGAGTTTCAGAACAGCGGATCTGAATGAGAAGAATGAGAGTTTCATAATCGTTCGGCCACTAACACCTCAAGGAAATTTATGCATTGAAAACATAATACACCTGAAGGGTTTTACGAATGGGAGTTTCATAATCAATCGGCCACTAACACATGAAGTGCAGGATGCAATCTGAGCCGCACGATGCATCAGATCCAAAGGCTAAATTTTATTCTTATTTCTTTCACCAAGGTGCATTCTCACCTGAACCGGCCCATATATATATATATATATATATATATATATATATATAGACACACACACACACCAATAATAAACCATTTAATTTTTATATATCTTTTTTAATAATAAAATATTTATCACATTTAAATATGTGTTACAATGTTGAAAATAAATAAAAAAATATTATTATTTAAGTTAGAAAGTGAATGTTTTGTAAAGTATATTCGGGTCAAATCATTCACTATCTTAATCTATTTTTATTACTAATTTGATCAAATAATATAGTCATGCCACATCTTGTTTTGTAGAACTTTTGATATATTCTTAATTTTTAAAAATGAAAATTTTATGTTTTAATTACACCCCAATGCTCAAATAAATTATATTGAAAGTAAGTTTAGTAAAACATAGTAATTCGAAACATGCAATTTATTTTGTGTTGTAGAAAATAATAAAAATAATAATTATTTAATATAAAGTTTAATATGTATACATGACATGTCACGTGACCTGTTAAACACATGTGGCATGACACACCGTCACGATATTTAATCCACTCAACAACGACTAGTTGGATATCACAAAAGTAGTGTCTGATATATAAGATGAATTCATCACTAAAAAACCCAAATTATTAGGTTATATACTTATATTGTAACTACTTTTGTCGTGAAACAATTTTTATATTAATTTTTTTATATCTCAAAATAGCGTTTCATTTTCTTTTTTTTATAAAAATATTTACGTGATTCATGACATTTTTAATCCTTCCGTTGCAATTTAAGTTATTTGTTTACTATATTCAAATAGTTAAACTCTAATCAGTTTTATTAACGATTTTGATACTTATTTGATAAAATAATATAATCATATCATTTTTTATTCAATAGAATTTAAGATGTAGCTTCTGAAGATAAAAAACAATAACAACCAAGTTGAATTCCATAAAAGTAGGGTTTGGCGAGGGTGCGGACACGCATACCTTAACTCTACTTGAAAGTAGAGAGACGATTTTGAAAAAGGGAGAACTCTTTTGATAAGAGTAAAAACTAAAAAAAATTATTAAAATAGGAGAGTAAAAACTAAAAAAAACTATTAAAATAGAGTCTTAAATCATTTAAGACAAAAAAAGAGTTCACACTGTTATTGTTACACTGTCACACTCACCACATTGCAAAATTAAGGGGCTGTTTGTTTCAACTTCTTAATGGTTCGATGTCTGAATGGTTCAGCACTTAATGGTTCAGACTGTTTGTTTCAGCATCTTAATGGTTCAGATGTCTGAATGGTTAAGAGATTTGCCTCTGAATGGTTAAGTATTATACAGAGTCTGAATGGTTAAGACCTCTTATCTCAATTGATCAGACATTTGCCTCTGAATAGTTAAGCAATATACTAGCTCTTAATGGTTCAGACCTCTTACTAGTTCAGCACTTAATGGTTCAGACTTCTTACTGGTTCAGCACTTACCGATTCAGAAGTTGTCAAACAGCCCCTAACTCACTCACTATCATTGTGTCATTTAGGGTACTATTTTAGGGGTCCCATAATTTAAACTGGGGTGATGCTCCCAAGAGTTTCTTGGCATTCAACGGGGGTGTTTATATAGTAGTGCTTCTCCCCCTTCCAATATTCTTCAATTGCAGCCATTGATGCCCTGAATCCGTGAACTGGCTGGCTCGGGAGTTGGGAGATCTGTTGGAGAAGGCGAAGCAGACCACAGTAAGTGTTTTTTTCTCCACATTCGTCTTCATCTTGTTAATTCGAGTGCGTTTTTTCCCTAATGGATTGCGTTGCTAAGAAAACCGCCATTGTTAAAACCCGGAGAGCTCTTGTATGAAAGAGGCCCTGTCGGAAATGGAGATTTTAGCCGTCCTCGCGCATTCGCCCGACCCGTTAAATTAGAAATCGGGTTTCTTTTCTGGAAATATGCGTATTCGGCGGAAGTCGTTATTATTATTATTATTATTTCAAAAAACTCCCTTTTCAGTTTGGTCCTGGATTTAGGGTTTATTTTATTGGTGCGATTAGGAATCGAAGGGAGATGGTGGAAGAGAGGAATGGGAGCAAGCTGCCGTCTCAGTGGTGGTGGTGGTCCGAGACACAGAAGAACAACAGCTGCAAGATTCGCACCCCGTGGCTTCAATCAACGCTTGATGGTAATAATAATAATAATAATAATAATAATAATAATAATAATAATAATAATAATAATAATAATAATAATAATAATAATAATAATAATAATAATAATAATAATAATAATAATAATAATAATAATTAATAATAATCAAAGCTCTCCTCAGATCGTTATTTAATTTTCTTGAATCATTTATTATATGCGTCCTTTTTTTTCCTCTCTTTTCAAATCCAGAGTGTCACTGTAGATTTTCTCAAAAGGTTTGGACTTTTTGTGAGTATGGGAAGGAAATATAATGTATTCGGATTTTGGACCGTTGAGGACTTTTGACTTTCCCAACGTCTATATTCTCTGTGGCCCCCACCTTTTGAAATTAAAATCCTGATACTGTTGTTGGTAGTATTAAAAAATGATTTCTTTCTTGGTTATTCACAGTGACTTCTCACCCCAACCTTAACCCATTAAATATGTACTCGTATTATTTATTTATTTTCTTACTTATTTACTCCTCTTTTACTCATTTAGGTGTATATTTTCTAAAATACAGTGCATCTCATTATAAGAAATTCGTTTAAAATGTCAAATAGGTGTATGTTTAGGAACATGGATTTGGATTTCAAATCCGGATTTGGCTTAAATTCCATGTTTGGGAAACTTAAGCATTTTGAATTTGGATTTGAATCAAATTCTTTACATTCAAAACAAACCTTAATTTGAAATCCATGCACCTCCCCTTGTCATTTGAAATTCAGAATTTCAAATTTTGGAATTGAAATGCATCAATTGAAATGAAATGCTAGTTGCCAAACACTACCTAAATGAATTTGCCACTCATTCATGTCGACAATAATATACTTTATGTTTAAGGTATTTCAGGTAGTGTTTGGGGAGTAACATTTCATTTCAATTTCAAATTTTGAATTCTTAAATTTCAAATGACAAGAGAAGATATATGGATTTCAAATTGAGCATTATTATGAATTAGAAGAATTTGTCTAAAATCCAATTCCACATTTCTTACGGTTCCTAAACATGGCATTTGAGTCAAATCTAGATTTGAAATCCAAATTTCCAAACATATCGTTTGAGAATTCGTCATTATCTTGTTGGAAATCAAAAGATAGACTACTAAATTTGGACAAACGAAAACAAGAAATTGGAGTACTAAATCCTATATGCTTTAATAATGGAAACATTGGAAAGTAATGCTATTAATTAAAGAGAGTTTCCTGGGCAGTTAAATCTAGAGCATCTGTATCAATTATCAAGAGGTTTAAATTTAAAACACCATTATTATTGACACTGGATTTAGTCTTAATGGGCATCTAGCAGAGATGCATTAGAGTTGTTCAATCTCATAATTGCAATAAATTAAGTTATGGTATGTTTGGGAACATGGATTTGGATTTCAAATCCGGATTTGACTTAAATTCCATGTTTGGGAAACTTAAGCATTTTGAATTTGGATTTGAATCAAATTCTTTACATTCAAAACCAAGCTTAATTTGAAATTCATGCACCTCCCCTTGTCATTTGAAATTCAGGATTTCAAATTTTGGATTTGAAATGCATGAATTGAAATGAAATGCTAGTTGCCAAACACTACCTTAATGAAATCCAACTCAATTCCTTAAATCCAATGCCTTTTCTTTTGTACAATCCTGGATAGATATAATCATAGCCTCCAATATTTAAGCAATACGCAGATTGTCACATGGGTGGTTATTAGCCTCCCTATAAAGGCTATAATTTGTAATCTGTTTTTGGATGTGCATATAATTCAACTTAAAAATAACCTTTGCAACTTGTAGAGTTGGATGAGAGGACAAATGCAATGTTAAGGATAATCGAGGGAGATGCAGATTCGTTTGTGCGAAGAGCAGAGATGTTTTACAAGAAACGCCCGGAGCTCATCAGTATGGTCCAAGACTTCTACAAAGCCCACCGCTTATTGGCTGAAGGCTATGATCAACTGAAGTCCGAATCTGGTGCTCGTATGATTTCGCCTTGGCAATTGCCCCACCAAACTTTGAGCTTCAAGTGCCAGGCTGAGCATTCGGCGACCTCAACTTTCATAGCTTATGATAGCCATTCAGAAAGCTTTGAGCTTGAGGAGTCCGAGTTGTCTGATGTTGAAGACCCTGAAGAAGCCATAACTAATAATAATCATCAAAATGGAACAGAGAAAGTCTCGGTCTGCAATGGTGAAGTATTGAAAGATGATATAAAGAGAGATGAGATCTCAAGCGTTGTTGACAATGACGAAGTGGAGAAGCTGAAGGAAGAGAAGGAGAGACTCGAAGAAGAGACCAGAATTCAAAAGGAACTGCTGGAGCAGAAGGACGAAGAAAAGCGAGAAGCCATCAGACAACTCAGTCTGGCTATGGATTTGCTGAGGCAAGAAAATGCAAGCCTGAAGAAGAGTGTCTGCTACTTGAATGCCGGTAGGGAAATGCAACACCCTCCCAATAATGAAGGGCACCACAAAGAAGGGTTCTGGAGGAAGTTCCTCCGCGGTCATCCAAAATCAGAAATCGGTCTGGTTACTTTCTAGGCTCCAAATATAATTGCATCTTACTGAAGATGATGCAGCATGTAAAATACCACAATCTGCTCTAGTCTGGTTTCATTAGTGATGCTTCCATGTATTGCATTCTAGCAGATATTTTTACTGATCCTACTTAATCATGTTTCTAATGTGCTTGCTTGCTAGCTGACTATATGCTTCTTAAGATAAAAAAAAAACATAAAACCCGTATTTGTTGATCTTTTCATTGTATACTGTCATCTTCATTTTAATGTATACTGTTTTCTTCTTCAACATATTTTTGAAATTTTATGATGTATTTATTTCTTTTTTAGTCCTTTTTTTCCATTTTAAAAAACTTGTATTCAGAAGCTGTATGTTATTTTTTTTGGCACTAATCTAAAAAGTTAGTTAAAATATTGTGAAAGAATGTATTCATATATAGTAATAACCTTATCTTAACTCCATCAAAGTTTAGATTTTTTTCCGGAATAGTTAAAATTAATACTCCTAATTTAATTGTCTACCAAATTTATTGTGTCAAATAAAAGCAGTAACACACACTTTAAAATACCTAGAATGAATCTATGTTGGGTCAATCTGAAGCAGACATGAACAAGACTCTTTAACCTGAATGCTGCAAATTAAAAGCCAATCTTAAAGCAAGGACAATGTGTGCAAAACGTATAAGCGTTTAAGCATATGAAAAAACTGATCAAATCCCAAATGCAGATATCTTATCCAGTAAGAACAAATCAAAACAGAAAACGTAAATCATAGAAGAACAATGTACCGAAATACAACAGTGGAGCAATCGGAAAAAGAAGAAAAAAACTGAAGCTGCTCACGAAAAGTTGGAGCCTTTACACACCAGAGACATGGATAGTATTACCCAGAACGCCATCACACAGAAACCCATGACTGGTGCTTGAAGAGAAACAGAAAAGGAAACCGGTAACGAACCCGAAGGGGAAAGAGAAAGCATTAGAGGGCCTGGAGCAGCCATGGCGTCGTCGTCTGGGTTTGGCGGACTGGGGCTGGAAGGGATTGTGGGCAGCGAAGGTTGTTCAGTGGGAGGCAGCTCGGAGCCACCCGTGGAGGGGAAAAGGGGCGAAATATCTGGGGATAAGCTCTGGGGCGGCGAAGACGAGGCAGGAAATGGGAGCAATAATGACGGTGCGGGTGAAATGGAGAGAGACTTCGGGAGACTGAGAATCAAGAAAGACATGAAGACGCTCAAGAAAAGGGTTGAGGAAGCCATTAATGAATGTGGTGGAATGAGCCGATGAGGAGACATTTGATGGTGGTGTGTCTGAGGTTATATAAAAAAAGAAAGAAAAAAAAGAAGACTGTTAAAGGAAGTGGGAGTATCTGTTCTTTACCTCTCTGGCATTTGGATTTTGTAGTTTGGCAGCCATTCATATTTTCATCATCTGTGATATTCCCTTCTCCACCGATCAACAACCCATTTTGCAAATAATTTCAGCTCCTGACTTTTTAGCTAATACTCCTACCCCGTAAAATTGTTTTACTCACTCCAATATATTCGCAGTTGAGTAGGGAATAAATGTTTTTTTGACTGTCAAATGTAATATTGTCATTCCAAATGTGTTCTCAGTTTTCACAAACAAAGTTTGAATGTGAGAATGTCAAGTTTGTTGGAAATTTTTAAAGTAAATTGGACATTTTCGGACATAAATTTGGTTGGGTCCACAAAATTATTTTCCAAAATAATTATGGACGATTAATCTCGTAAGTAAGGCGAACGTCTTGATATATGACACGTCATAAACGGTGCTCGGGTGAATGAGAAATTAATTCTCAAAGTTGAACACTAAGGTAGAGTAAATGCCTTTGTCCCACACCGGTTTCTAAACCTTTCGTATTCTCATATTTAAGCTTAGGCATTGAATTGAGCTTATGAAAGGAACAAGAAGAGGACTCCTCGCGCGCCCGCCGCCGCCGCCGCCGGTCTGGCTCGGCACGACACGTGGGGCGGGGCGGGGCGTGGCGTGGCGTGGCGCGTCTGCGGTAAATTTTTACGAGACCGAATTAAACACGCGTGGACACTTCGTGATTAACGAAGTGCCGTTCAAATGAAGCATGCATGCACTTGAGGACGAAGGGACACTCGTCCCCTCGTAATTTCCGTCCAGTCCAAGCGAAGAGCCAACTCCCCTCCTATAAAAGGAGGGGTTGGTTGCAGAGAGAGGAGACATTCGAAACAATCTCTCTCTCTGCGTTATACAAACTTTCCGACGATCTCCAAATCTCCGATCACCTTCTCCGACGATAACTTCCCGTCGTTCTCGTTCGCCGGTGCTTTGTTCTACCGCTCTAGACCTAGCACGAAGCGGTTTTATCCTGGGAGGAGATTGCCCATGTTAGCCAGTGCGGGAGGCGGGCAATACTACCTTAAGGAAAGCTTCGGCGACTCCGCTTTCCTCACCCTTCTTTTGCTCCGGCGTCGTTCCTCTCTCCGTCCGTTCGTGTTCTTGCGTTCGTTCAAACATCCGAAGACTCCAAGTTTTTATTTTCTTTATTTTGTTGTAAAATCTGAACGTTTTATAAGTTCGGATTATTTTTATTTTATTTTCCCGCTGTAATATTCAACAATCTTAAGGTAGTATCGATGGAGTTCGGAATCGGCATCGCGGGTTCCTCCGGCAACGGAATGAGTTCCGAAGCTCCGGTCGAAACCTCCTCGGTGGCCATGGTTGTGCCGTCCTCACCACTACCCTTCGGGGCAAGTGTGGGGGCCGCAACCATGACGTCGTTTTCAATGCCGAGCTCGATCTTCGGGTCGGCCCCTCGACCCATTCCCGGGCTCGAAACCACGGGGGATCACCCCGTCGGTAATTCGAACCCGTTTCTCGGACCGACTATGGCTTCGGCCTCGACGGTCAACCTTGGACCGAACACGGGCTTTCCCACACCGGTCAACTTAGGACCGAACGCGGGTTTCCCCACACTGGTCAATCCATTCGTTGGACCCCATTGGGCGACTAACGGGCCTTTCCTACACACGCCCAATGCGGTTGGGCCGATTACGGTGCTCGCTAGTTCGGTCCAAAGGCCACCGAAGTTCAATGGCACAAACTTCAAAATGTGGCAACAAAAGATGATGTTCTTCATGACTGTCTTGGGATTTGCTGAGTACCTGCAGCAAGATCCCCCCAGCCCAATGAAGCAAACGACCCCCTCGTGGCGATGGTGAACCAAGCATGGTACCACAACAACTATCTCGCCATCAACATTATCCTGGAGGGGTTGGGAGATTCGCTATACCCCGTCTACGCCGGTGCAACGCTCGCCAAAGAGCTTTGGAATAGCTTGAACAAAAAGTATCAAGCTGAAGATGCCGGCACGAAGAAGTTCATCGTTGGGAAGATGTTGGACTACAAGATGGTCGACAGCAAATCTGTTGTCGCCCAGGCCGAGGAGCTTACGGTTATCTTCAACAAATGCAATGAAGAGAAAGTAGGCGTCAGCGAGGCCTTCAATTCCAAGTGGCGGCCATCATCCACAAACTTCCCCGGTCGTGGGAAGATTTCCAAGCCGACCTCAAGCTCAAAAGAACGGAGCTGAATCTGGAGCAACTGCTCACGCGGTTGAGGATTCGAGAGGAAGGGCTTGCTAGAAGAAATGGAAAGGCTAAGGCGAATGTTGTAGAACATCCGTCGGGCTCTTCACATGGCGGGAAGGACAAGAAGAAAATGGGTCCTAAGGGTGGTGTTTCTAAATTTGCAGGAAAGTGCTACAATTGTGGCATTACTAGGCATCGTTCCTCCGATTGTAGGAAAAAGAAGCCACAAAAGGGAAAGAAGAAAACAACTGAAGCCATGTGTGCGAAGCTTGACATCTTGGACCTCTACGCGGTTGTCACCGAGGTAAATCTCGTCGGGTCAAACCCGAAGGAATGGTTTGTGGACACAGGAGCCACACGCCATATTTGTTCAAATCAGAGCATGTTTCACGACTTTCAAGAGAGCTCCGGTGACAAGGTGTGGATGGGCAATTCGGCCCAATCAGAGGTTCAAGGGATTGGAAAGATCAAGCTGAAAATGACTTCCGGCAAGGAGCTCACGCTCAACGACGTGCTCTATGTCCCAGACATTCGCAAGAATTTAGTGTCGGGGTCATTGCTGATCAAACACGGCTTTCGGATGGTGTTTGAATCAGACAAGCTAATCTTATCCAAGAAAGGGATTTTTATTGGGAAGGGTTACATTTCTAATGGGCTAGTAAAGCTCAATGTAATGACTGTTCTTGAAAAGATCAATAAAAATCCTGTTGCTTATGTGTGTGAGTCTTCTAGTTTATGGCACGGTAGATTAGGACATGTTAATTATGCATCTCTCCGAAAATTAGTTAACATGGAACACATACCTAAGTTTAGTATTGACCTAACCCACAAGTGCGAAACTTGTGTTGAGGCTAAGTCAACTCGAAGTTCGTTTCAAACGATCGAACGAAACACTCAACCTCTAGAGTTGGTTCACACCGACTTGTGTGATTTTCGAACAACGCCTTCAAGAGGGGGTAATAAGTACTTTATTACCTTCGTAGATGATAGCACGAAATATTTCTATATCTATTTACTAAAAAGTAAAGATGAAGCGTTAGACACTTTCGTTCGATATAAGAATGAAGTGGAAAATCAACTCAATCGCAAAATAAAAGCATTGAGAAGCGATAGAGGTGGTGAGTATGATGCTCCACTTAATGACTTTTGTGCACAACATGGAATTGTGCATCAAGTAACCCCACCGTATACACCACAGTCTAACGGTGTAGCGGAGCACAAGAATCGCACTCTAAAAGACATGATGAATGCGATGCTGCTTAGTTCTGGATTACCTCAGAACATGTGGGGGGAGGCTGTTTTATCAAGTAATTATTTACTAAATAAAATACCTCGTAAGAAACTTGACAAAACTCCATATGAACTTTAGCATAATAGGAAACCTTCCTATAAGTATCTTAAAGTGTGGGGGTGTCTCGCGAAAGTACTTACACCACCACCGAAGAAGATGAAGATCGGTCCAAAAACAGTTGATGGAATCTTCATCGGGTACAGTAGTACGTCATACCGGTTCTTGGTGTATAAATCAGATAATCCTGAAATTCACAAGAACACAATCATCGAGTCACGGAATGCAACATTTTTCGAGCATATTTTTCCATACAAGTCAAGTGACGAAGCCAGTTCGTCCAAACGTTCTCATACTGAGATGATGGATAACGATGATCCAAATCAGTTGAATTCCGGTGACGATGATGAAGTCGAACATGAGACTGAATTGAGACGAAGTAAAAGAATGCGAACTGAAAAGACGTTCGGTTCTGACTTCATAACATATCTGATAGAATTTGACAAAGGAACTTTGTCATTTCTAATGGAAAATGAACCCGATATTCTAACCTGTTTGGTAGAAAAAGAACCACGAACCTATCACGAGGCCGTAACCTCAACTGAGGGACCTCAGTGGCAAGAGGCCATAAAGAGTGAAGTTGATTCTATCCTTCAGAATCACACTTGGGAACTGGTTGATCTCCCTCCAGGGTGTAAGCCATTAGGTTCCAAATGGGTCTTTCGGAGGAAAATGAAGCCCGACGGCTCCATTGACAAGTACAAAGCTAGACTTGTGATCAAGGGGTATAGCCAATGCGAGGGCTATGACTACTTTGATACTTATGCGCCTGTGACTAGGATAGATTCTATCAGAATGATCATCGCATTTGCATCCTTACGAAACTTGGATGTTTACCAAATGGATGTGAAGACAGCTTTTCTAAATGGCGAACTAGATGAAGAAATCTATATGGAACAACCCGAAGGGTTTAAGGTTCCGGGCCAAGAAAAGAAGGTATGCAAACTTGTGAAATCATTATACGGTCTTAAACAAGCGCCAAAGGTATGGCATGATAAGTTTGACGAGGTAATGATGAGCAACAGTTTTAAAATAAATGAGTCTGATAAGTGCGTATACTTTAAGGACACATCTGAAGGGTATGTCATTTTATGTATGTACGTAGACGACATACTCATCGTTGGAAGCAACGATAGGATGGTCAAGTCCACCAAGGACATGTTGAACGCACGATTCGATATGAAAGATTTGGGTCTGGCTGATGTGATTCTTGGAATCAAAATACTAAGAAGACCGGATGGTCTGAGCTTGAGCCAATCCCACTACATTGACAAGATCCTTGAGAAATTCAACAAGGACGATACTAAGATAGCTAAGACGCCGATAGACGTAAATGTTCACTTTGGTAAACACCGAGGGAGTAGCGATTCTCAGACAGAATACGCTAGAGTCATCGGAAGTTTGATGTATCTAATGAGCTGTACACGGCCAGACTTAGCTTGCGCCATTAGCAAACTAAGTAGGTATACGAGCAATCCGAGTGCTGAGCACTGGAAGGCCATAGTCCGAGTAATGAGATACCTTCGGTATACTCGAGATTATAGCCTATGCTACGGCAGGTATCCACCCATACTGGAAGGATACACTGATGCCAATTGGATTGCGGATAATAAGGATTCAAAATCCAGAAGTGGATTTGTCTTTATGCTAGCCGGTGCAGCTGTTTCTTGGAAATTCTCAAAACAAACGTTAATTGCCAGATCCACCATGGAGTCTAAGTTCATAGCACTAGACAAGTGTGCAGAACATGCCGAATGGCTTCGGAATCTACTTGAGGATATTCCAAACTGGGAAAAACTAGTTCCTCCTATTTGCATTTATTGTGACTATCAGTCAGCAATAGGAAGAGCTCAGAACAAATTATATAATGGTAAGTCTAGGCACATTCGCCGTAGACACAAAACCATTAGACAACTTCTCAATACGAGTATTATTTCGATTGACTATGTCAAGTCGAAGGATAATTTAGCGGATCCATTAACCAAAGGGTTAACCAATGAGCAACATGAGAAGTTAGTGGTAGGAATGGGTCTGAAAGCCCTACCCTGTGCAGGGAACGTTCCATGAAGGAAAACCCAACCCAGGTGGAACCTGGGTTCAATGGGACAACCTACTTGTGGAACGAAGCACGGTCACTGTGGGGGCAAGCCGGATCACCGACTTAACACCCCTCCGTTCCTACTGAGATATAGTGACTCCCGAAAACGATGAGGTTAGCATGACGCTTTAATGATTCTTGAACTATGGACAACGTGGTCCAAGTGGAGTAATCGAGATACTCTTAGAAGAAACACCTATGTAAGAGTGAAGTGCGGTCGCTTCAACAGAAGGATTTCGGGCTGATCTTGTCTGACACTCTCGCAGAACCAGATGCGTGTTCCACGACCATAATGGGCACATCCATGAGAACGGAATGATGGTTGGTTGAAACTTGTGTATTGTATATCGTCGTTTACATAAACGGCAGTACAGTTCAAAGACATCACGTTCTACTGAACAGCCAGTAGAGAAGGTATACTTTACAAGGAGTAGGTTCAAAGGCATAAAACCTACCTATTCTTGCAGGTTTCAACTTCAGAATTATTGCCAGTTACATGAATTAATTTTCATTCATGTGGGGGATTCTTGGAAATTTTTAAAGTAAATTGGACATTTTCGGACATAAATTTGGTTGGGTCTACAAAATTATTTTCCAAAATAATTATGGACGATTAATCTCGTAAGTAAGGCGAACGTCTTGATATATGAAATGTCATAAACGGTGCTCGGGTGAATGAGAAATTAATTCTCAAAGTTGAACACTAAGGTAGAGTAAATGCCTTTGTCCCACACCGGTTTCTAAACCTTTCGTATTCTCATATTTAAGCTTAGGCATTGAATTGAGCTTATGAAAGGAACAAGAAGAGGACTCCTCGCGCGCCCGCCGCCGCCGCCGTCCGTCACGCGCGCGCGCGGCGGGGCGGGGCGGGCCGTGGCGAGGCGAGGCGCGTCGCGCCGCGTCTGCGGCGTGGCTAAATTTTTACGAGACCGAATTAAACACGCGTGGACACTTCGTGATTAACGAAGTGCCGTTCAAATGTAGCATGCATGCACTTGAGGATGAAGGGACACTCGTCCCCTCGTAATTTCTGTCCAGTCCAAGCGAAGATCCAACTCCCCTCCTATAAAAGGAGGGGTTGGTTGCAGAGAGAGGAGACATTCGAAACAATCTCTCTCTCTGCGTTATACAAACTTTCCGACGATCTCCAAATCTCCGATCACCTTCTCCGGCGATAACTTCCCGTCGTTCTCGTTCGCCGGTGCTTTGTTCTACCGCTCTAGACCTAGCACGAAGCGGTTTTATCCTGGGAGGAGATTGCCCACGTTAGCCAGTGCGGGAGGCGGGCAATACTACCTTAAGGAAAGCTTCGGCGACTCCGCTTTCCTCACCCTTCTTTTGCTCCGGCGTCGTTCCTCTCTCCGTCCGTTCGTGTTCTTGCGTTCGTTCAAACATCTGAAGACTCCAAGTTTTTATTTTTTTATTTTGTTGTAAAATCCGAACGTTTTATAAGTTCGGATTATTTTTATTTTATTTTCCCGCTGTAATATTCAACAAAGTTTTGTGTCAATACCGGGTTTGTTTGCTGTTATGTGTGGTGGGTGTATCTGGACTTTTTGCTTTTGATGAAATAAAAAAAATTAATTATAAAATCGAGATCTTCTTTTTTGTAATAATATTCTTTCATAATTCAATATTTTCTCTCTCTTCATTTATAACAAAACTTTCAATTAATAAATATTTTACTCTATTCAGCTCTAAATAAATTTTATACCAGTTTTTGTTTAGGATATATTTAAATAAAGTTAGTTTTGAATCTATTTATTTTAATAATATTGATATAAAATAAAAAAAACAATATGTTTTTAAAACTACATAAAAAAAATCTTAAAAAACAAGAGATGATTTGGTTATAATAGTCTTAAAGTTGAAAAAAATACTATAGTTAATTTGGTAGTTTGAATATATTAATTTTAAGATTTGATTTAATGACTATTAAATTTATGATTTATACGTTTTAGAAAATTAATGATTTAAATTTAAAAATATATTATTTTTGATTATCTATTAGCATGTGATACTTTAATTAAATTATAGAATATAATTAATCAAAATAAATTGTGTCAACATAGCATACTATGTTTTCAATAGTATTCTTTATAATTTCAACATCATTGATTAAATTTAAAGATGGAATATATACCCTCTTTTTCAATTCATTAGAATATTCTTTTTAATTTTGCATTTTTTCCATTTCATTTATAATAAAATTTGCAATGAATAAATAAGATTTCTTTCCTAAAAAATACACTCTCTTCACCTCCAAATAAATTTTATATTTTTGTATGATATGCTTATAAAATGAAGTTAGTTTTTATTTATTTATTGAAATATTGATGTAAAAATAAAAAATACCCTCGTATATTTTAATCTCTAGATTAATATTCTATAAAAAAATATGCCAAGAGAATTGTTTTAAATTATTAACTATTTAAATTAAAAAAATAATATTTTTACAGCCTTGAATGATGTTATGCAGCAACCTATTTTGCTACCAGATCATGGCGCGTCAAGAGAAAGGGCCATTGGTGGGGCAGTACGAGAAGATTGTCAGGGTCCCGTATCGGTTGCACGTAGGAGCACGAGGGTTCGGAGACCCCCGATATGACAACAAGATTATACGGCGTGAGGTTTCTTTATTATTCAGACATTGGTTCCATTATTTATTATTTTAACTTAGATTTTTGTTAGGTGAGCGTATTATAAGCTTCTTCGAGTGTTTCTTCATGGTTCTTTACCTCGTCGCTTTTCTTGAATCGTTGGGGTAGAAAACGTAGTAATTTAGGGTTTGGGGTTGTGTCTGTCACTATAAATAAAGATAGGCCTTGTTAACATTAATATAGAAGAATATTAATACAAAACCCTAATTCTCTCCTTCCCCTCCCACTGTTCGCTCGCTGTCTGCACGGTTACGGCTTCCTTCTCTCTTTAACCTCCCTTTTCTGGAGTTCGAAGGCACTCGAAGCCTTCCCTGTCCTGGTACCATCGTATCATTGGTGCTCTTGTTGAATTCATTATGTCCGCCGATCCCTCTCTCATTGCTAAAAATTTGGCCGCACTCACCGTTGGAATACAGGAGCTGCGCGAGGCTATGCGCAAAAAAGCCCAAGACCACTCATAGCCCTCGTCGTTGCCAGCGTATTTGTATTGGTAAGGACTCCACTCTCTGTCAAAGTTTTCTTCGGGAATATCACAACTCTTATTTGGCAGGCCACCCGGAGTAACAGCGCACCTTCTCCCGGCTAACGATGCAATTCTATTGGCCAGGGATGCGGTAACGCCACGAAATTAAGCCTAAAATAATTCATTAATTTAAATATTAATTAATGACTGAGACAAACGCGAACACTGAAAAATAAAAGTTTTCAGAAAAATATTTTAATTATATCAAAATTTTAGTTTTGACAGTCTGATTCCAAATATGCGATCCTTTTTAAATTCAGAACAGTTTGGGCGAAAAAGCGCGTACTGTTTTAGTCAGTTTATGAGTTACGGAGTATGAGAATATTTTAAAAATCTCCAAATTTCTTCAATCACGTAACTCTCCCTAATAAGCCACCCTAGGAACAAGCTATGAAACCCACTCACCCTTCCACTACACAATAATTCTAAATCCTCTCCTATAATACTCCAAATTTTTCCTCCATTTTGTCAAACCTACATCTCACAACACATCCACTCTCTCTTTATATCTCTCTGTGTCGGTCAAGTATCAAGGAAGGAGAAAGGAGACTCTAACTTCATTGTTGTGCTAAGGAAGAAGAAGGAGAAACAAGGAGAAGTATCAAAGTCCAAAAATCCTGAGTACAAAACACAGCAGCAACTTCTTCGTCAATTCTGTAATTTTTTATCCATTTTCTCAAAATACTTATTATACCAAACTTGTAGCCCCGGACATTACGAATCCAACCCAACAAACGGTTTGTGATTTCGTTAGGTAACGAAGGAGATATGGCCAAAATACTCGGACTGCGCCAGTGGTGGCGAGCTCCTCGGGTTAGCTATGTTTCTCCACCATATTCATATCGTTTCTTTCCAAACGCTTACCGTCAACTCTCTAATGGTTATTAGGAACTTCCAGAGTTTATTTTCAAGAAGGTTGGACGTCGGAAGCTCGAAGTTGATAGGGGTGACTGGATGTTGAATGTTCGTTGAGGCATTATTATTATCATTTTCTATCACTTCTGTCCTCTACGATATCAAGGCGAGTACATTGCACCCTAGTACGCAATCCTTGGTTGAATATCAATCTAGATATATCATTAGGATTGGTTGTCATATTATAAGTCATCTATGTTTTAAGAACAAACTTATCAAACCCATAAATTTAAAATGTGTATTTTTTGATATTTTTCCATACATGGATATATAATTGTTAGAAATACTTCAAATACATAGATATGTTAATCATAGGTGTTAAAATGAGATAAAAAGGTATTTTAGACACCCAAAATCATCAAAAATAAGATTCGCAGACCCGAATGGTCGATGCAAACGGTCAACCGTCGTCAAACGGTCGACCATCGTCAAACTGTCGACCGTCACCAGCCTAGCCGAACGCCACCACCTCATGGCAGTCAACAACGGTCGACTGTCACGGTGATCCGGAATCTGACGAGATGAATTATAGCACGATCGACCGCCGTGCCAAACGGTCGACCGTTCCGAGCCCCGTAGCTTTCTTAAATGATATTTTAATCATGATTCATCCAAATAAACTAATGCATGATTATATATTCATATTGTTTGCAAATTGTTCATATCATATGATTCATTTCATCATTCATATTGAAGCATATCACATCATATGTATGCGTAAGAGATCATGCCCCGTGCATCTCTTATAGCATGATTGTGCGGGACTTACTAGTCCGACATCACATGTTCGGGCTTAGTGTACGTACATGGTATTCAGGCTTTTGAGTACCAACCTCATCTTCTTCTAGTCTCATCCGTGGGACTAAGGTGGCATGAGTTCGTCGTATCAAATGGGCAATTCTCATAGTGCAAGGGTCGTCCTTGCACGTTAGATTCATGCAGCATGAAATCATCATCGAGAACAATCATAATGATTATGCATGACATCAAGTATTCGTCATCATCATCATCTTGAGCATATATGCTATATTATGCCATATCATGAATAATTATATCTCTACTTGCTATTCAACTTGGAATTGTTGTATTAGCGTATTCCTTAGCTTATGCTGAGCGTGTATTTTGTTTTACTTGCTACCCGCAGGTAGCAACACTGAACATGGAGCCCATCCCGGAGGTTAATGAGAATGAGGAGATGTACGGACTAGTGGACGACTATTATTATGCATTATTTGAATAAATACCTTTTCGGTCGAGTTCCCAAAAAATGTAATATGAACTGATTATGTTTAATCAATTAAGCTTCCGCACTGTTTCCGACATTACTCCGAAATAAATATTTGAACTTATTACTTATATTAAAGTTTAATTAGTTTTAAATTATTCATCAAGTTATCATCTGTAATTACCATCTTGGTAACTACTCCGGCTCAAATAATCTAGGTAATCAGGTTATACGAGTTGGGGTGTTACATTTTGGTATCGAAGCATTTTGTTTAAAAAATGATTTTGGAAATCAAATCAAAAGAGTTTCAAACACAAGTCCGCATCTCTCTACATCTCTGCCAGGGAAGGTAAACAATTAGTTTATGTATGACTAATTACATTTTCAATTAATTATAGAATGAGTCAGGATTCGACTCACTTATCCTCACGTGGAACCTGAGCATGTTAGTGTGGATACTGTGCACACTGAAGCATCTAGCTATGTACCACCGCAACAACATCCTCAGTTCGCGGGACAAAACCTGAATATGGCCATTCTTATGTTCCAACCACAAATGATTGCGAACATGATGCAATTGTTTAATCAAATGGCTGGAGCATATGTACCTCCACCACCACCTCCTATGCACATCATCTCAATCGAGAAACTCAAAAGGAATGGGGCGTAGGAGTTCTGCGGTGATCAGATAGCAAACCCTTTGATAGCCAAGCGTTGGCAAGAAAGCACGGTGAGGGTACTGGAGAATTTGAAGGTACCTCTCGAGGACTGGGGTCAATAGGCCATATCGTTATTGCAGGATGCCGCATACGATTGGTGGAAACGTGTGAGTGCAAACATTCCCGAGCCGGTGCCATGGGTTTCCTTCGACCCACTCTTAAGAGCAGAGTATGTACCCGATCATTATGTGGAAGCAAAGTATGAGGAATTCTCCAAATTCACTCAGGAAAAATTGACTCTCCCAGAGTACCATCAACAGTTCGACGGGTTGGCCGAGTTTGGTAAAAACTTGGTCAATACCATGGAGAAACGCTGCAAGAGGTTCATCAAGGGTATGAGACCGGATCTTTATACATCACTCATATTGGTTCCCCGAGATGATATCAATGATGTCTAGAAGAAGGCACTTGATCTTAATGAGGAGCTCATGAGGAAAGCTGCTTATGAGAAAGCATTGCTGGCAGAAAGCCAAGTTTTCCAGCCGGGTCCGAGGATGGGATCTAGTAACAAAAGAACCTTTTCCACACCGAGTAGCTCTCGTCATGACAAACGAGCAAAATCTGTTCCTTCTACATTTGTAGCTCTCACTAGTAGGAGTGGGAAGGAAAAAGTGGCATACCATAATCCCGTATGCTCACTCTGTAGCCGTAGGCATTCTGGTGAGTGCTGGTTCACACAGGGTCTTTGTCTTGGGTGTGGTCAGGCAGGTCACTTCCGGAAGGACTGTCCGACAAACCCAGGCAAGGTTTTCTCCATAGCACCAGGCACGCCGACTGCTCCTACTGTCCAACGGACTGAACCTGCCCAGAGTCATCGTTCCACGGCTGCATCTCAACCAGCTGAAGAGGCCAGCACCAAGTCAGCAGCAAGGACGAGCACCAACTCGTATGTATGCCTTGCAAGGGCGTACCGATCCACAGGCTAATGATGTCATCATGGGTATGTTCACTTTATTCGATATCACTGTATCTGCATTAATTGACCCTGGATCTACTTTATCATACATATGTGTACCCATGTCTGTTAAATCTGTTGTCATTAAGGAGACTCTCGAGCATCCCGTAGTTGTGTCAAATCCACTATGACACAGTCTACGTCTCCAACATGTTTATAATAAATGTCCGCTGATGGCTCAAGGAAAAGTATTCTTAGCCGATTTCATTGAACTCCCTCACAAGGAGTTCGACGATATACTTGGCATGGACTGGTTGTCAAAACACCAGGCTATTGTTGAGTGCAAAGAACGGGTGGTGAAACTTCGTGCAGATGATGGTAACGAGGTGATCATTTGGGGAGAAGTACTGCCAAAAGCCCCGGAATTCATCTCTTATATGCAAGAAAAATGGCTCATTTGCAGGAAATGTGAAGCATTCGTGTGCACTGTTAAGGATATGCAGAGGGAAACACCTAACCATAAGGACATATCTGTGGTTTGTTATTTTCCCGATGTATTTCCTGAAGAACTTCCTGGTCTACCTCCTCCGAGGTAAGTGGAATTCTCTATTGATCTTGTACCTGGTACAGGACTGACAATCGTAGTTTTTTGGGTAGTAAAACCTTCCTGGTAAAGGGTTAGTTTTCTCTCCGAGTGTCGTGCCTCTCGAGGAGTGGACGAAGGGAATTAGTTTAATTACTCTAATTAGGCGAAGGTTAGGATAGGTTTATGAAAGTCTTCTCGGAACGAAATAAAGGGAGCAGAGTAAAAAGAATAAATAAATTTTACATAGTATAAGTATAGGTCTGGACCTAGGGTCGGGACATCATTTTGGATTTATTTTATCATATTAAATTAACAATTGGAATAATAATATTTCTATTACTACTCATCTATTTCTAGATTTGTACTTAATCCATTGCACTTGAATATCATAGCCCTTTTGGCTTACAATATTTTCTCAATAAATAGCTAATTAAATCTTCCAAGATTAATTAAATAAATAAGGAAAGAACAATAAACTAACCATTCCAACATTAATTTAACATTCAAAATATATAACCAAACTAGTCCAGACCCAGAGATCTGGACCCTAACTCATACTATGTAAACATAAATTAAAACAGCATTTTATTAAATAAAGAAAACTTACAACTTTCGTAAAAGCGGAACAGAACAGATCTGGAGTCGAATCCTCCGAAAATACTCCAAAAAAACTAATAAAACTAATATACAATATATTTGGAGCAAAATATTGTAGAAAACCCGAAAGGGGTTGAGAGATGGTTTGTGGAATGGTGGAGAATGGCGCTGTACTTATAAGGCAGGAACCGCGGGCGTCCAACTACCTGGACGTCCAACTTTGGACGCCCGTACCCGAAATATGTGGCTCGTCCAATCCTGATGTGCCGCTTGTCATTCCGCGTCATCCAGCCTTGCTTGGGCGTCCAACTACCACGGGCGTCCAACTTTGGACGCCCAGAACCCGAATCCTAAGTCCAATTCGCCTCCAATCACGATTCCTTGCAAATTTGGGCCCAAAATTGTTCCGTATTGGCCCAATTGGCTCCCGGACGTTGATTTCTACCTCCGAAGTATTATGATCTTTAAAATCTGAAACTTTTCATCCAATTTGGGACATAAAATTGACAAATCCACTCAATTTAATTTGGAACCCGTATTTTATTCTTTTTGAGACAAAACATAAGTTTTGTCACCAGGCACGCCGACTGCTCCTACTGTCCGATGGACAGAACCTGCCCTGAGTCATCGTTCCATGGCTGCATCTAACCAGCCGAAGAGGCCAGCAGCAAGGACGAGCACCAACTCGTACGTATGCCTTGCAAGGGCGCACCGATCCACAGGCTAATGATGTCATCATGGGAATGTTCACTTTATTCGATATCACTGTATCTGCATTAATTGACCCTGAATCTACTTTATCATACATATGTGTACCCATGCGTGTTAAATCTGACGTCATTAAGGAGACTCTCGAGCATCCCGTAGTTGTGTCAAATCCACTATGACACAGTCTACGTCTCCAACGTGTTTATAATCAATGTCCACTGATGGCTCAAGGAAAAGTATTCTTAGCCGATCTCATTGAACTCCCTCGCAAGGAGTGCGACGATATACTATGATTGGACTGGTTGACAAAACACCAGGCTATTGTTGAGTCCAGAGAACGGGTGGTGAAACTTCGTGCAGATGATGGTAACGAGGTGATCATTTGGGGAGAAGTACTGCCAAAAGCCCCGGAATTCATCTCTTATATGCAAGAAAAATGGCTCATTTGCAGGAAATGTGAAGCATTCGTGTGCACTGTTAAGGATATGCAGAGGGAAACACCTAACCATAAGGACATATCTGTGGTTTGTGATTTTCCCGATGTATTTCCTGAAGAACTTCCTTGTCTACCTCCTCCGAGGGAAGTAGAATTCTCTATTGATCTTGTACCTGCTACAAGACCCATCTCATCATCACCTTATCGAATGGCCCCTGCAGAAATGAAGTAGTTGAAAGCTCAACTGATGGAGTTGTTAGATAAAGGCTTCATCCGTCCTAGTGTTTCCCCGTGGGGAGCACCTGTTCTTTTCGTTTGAAAGAAAGATGGATCGATGAGATTATGCATCGACTAGCACCAGTTGAAGAAAGTTACAATCAAGAATCGTTATCCATTACCCCGTATTGATGATTTGTTCGATCAATTACGAGGTGCAATCGTATTTTCAAATATCGAACTCAGATCAGGTTACCATCAGATTCCCGTGAAGCCAGAAGACATTCCAAAGACAGCGTTCCGTACACGTTACGGGCATTATGAATTTACCGTTATGCCCTTTGGCTTAACGAACGCACCAACTGTATTCATGGACCTCATGAATAGCGTCTTCAGACAGTATCTGGACCAATTTGTTGTGGTCTTCATCAACGATATCTTGGTGTGCTCAAAAACACCAGAGGATCATGCTGAGCATTTGTGCATCGTATTGAATGTTCTGAGAGAGCATAATGTAACACCCCAACCCGCGTAATCCGAACCAACGGGTTAGCGAATCGGGTTGTTACTAAATTGGTATTCGCGTGCATAATTTTTCTTTTTAAAAATAATCAACTGAATAAATTATAAAATTCATCCGTGAGAGTTCAAAACTAAACCAAAATTTATCGGAGTAATAAAACAAGTCCAAACGTCGCGGTAGCATAGTAAAACCAAAGTAACGTCCAACAGTCCATATAATCAACAAAATAATGCAGTTTAATTATTTAAGTAAACAAGAGCCATCCACGCCACACCACCACTTCACTGCCCTCTGGGTTGCCCATCAAAATCTGTGTTCCTACCTGCGTGCAGTCAAACAAAATGACTACACGCTCAGCGAATCGCTGAGTGAAAATATACCTAATCTAGCATTAACTCACAGAATAGCACCACATTAACATACAATCACAACAGCAAGTGGTCACGGAGAAAGAAAATAGCTTAAATAAACATATTTATTTTAACACCTTCCATTTGAACATCATATCCTTATTTTATTCCACATCAACTACTTTGATTCATCGCACCCCAAGCGATGCTATAAAAGGGCCAGCTCAGAAACCCAAAGGAGATTCACCTTGGGCGGGTTGAAGCCCATGTCCCTGCGATACCAGGACAGGTCGCAGACTTCCGTACGTACGTTTTTAACCCAAGACCCCCAGGGGTTCGACGACGCCCCGCAAAGGCCAACTTCCTAGCCATATCCTATTGGTGATTCAATAAGTCAATCCAATTCAGGCCCGCCTAATTATACTAGGTGGCATAATTCCCCTTTATCATTCATAATCCACAATATTCACCAATAAGATCAATTTAATTTAAATCTCAGTTCACAATTCACAACAAGTCACGTAGCGGCCTATCCGAGCCAAAGACCCGCGATTATCGTCATGCATAATCAAACAACCCGAATTGCAATTAACCCAACTTACCTGCGCGGAGTCGAGGCCAAGGAATCGATCCTCGGGCCCGCTGCCCCCACCGGAGCGGTATCATTTACTACCGGGTCAGCCGACAACCCGCCGGACCGACCTGGCAGCACCAACCCGCTGCCCGTTCAGGCAGCCCCACTCAACTGGCCCAACGCTGCCAGCCCAACGGCCCAACGCAGCCGGCCTAATAGCCGGACCCGCCGGCCCAGCACCCCGGGCAGTCGGCCCAACGACCGGTCAACCCCAACTGCCCGGACAACCCCAATTGAATCCAAACCGACCCGATTGCACAAAAATCTATCCTAATTAAAACCCGATTGCACAAGAGCTAGCCCAATTGAACCCAAATTGACCCAATTTAACCAATTGGGTCCAAATCAAACCAATTGGGTCCAAATTGGACCCGCCGGAAACTGCCCGTACATCGGCCGTAGCCACCACCGGCCAGCCACCGACCAATCGCCGGAAAACAGCCCCCCAACACACCCCCAACCCAATCTAATGCACAATCAACCACAAATTTTACAATCAAACACAAAATTGCTACCACAAGATCCTAAACTACAAATTAATGCCAACTATAGGTATAGGAATCACGAATCACCTCGAATTATTGAAGAATTAGAAACCAAATTGAAAGAGGGATGCTCGCCGCTGCACTCCCTGGTGCGGCCGGATGTACTGTGCGACGGAGAAGGAGGAACGGCGACGGCGACGGCGTCCAGGCGGCTCGGCAGCGGCGTCTCTCTCCCTGGCTGGCGGAACGACGAACGGACGTGGAGCGCAGAGGGACCGACGGAAACGTACGAGAGTGAATGTGTGTTTAGGGTTGAGCAATTTAACCAAACCGACCGATTAACCGAAACAATTTAACCGAACTGACCGCAATTTTAAATTCGGTTTCGATTTTTGGTTTTAATATAAAAAATATTCGGTTAATTCGGTTATCAATTTTGGTTTCGGTTTTGGGCAATGTTAACCGAAACCGACCGAATAACTGAGCCCATATTATGTGTATTAATGATTAAACATATATAAGCCCAGACCAAATCTTTTAGTTACAGCCCACTTAAAAAAGCCCAACTCCCTGCCCTTCTCCCAAGTCCCAACCTGTCTCCCAAGTCCCAAGTCGGCACTTGATCGGCAGAAAGTCCCAAATCCCAACCAAATCCCAACCCTGCTGTGTCGTTCTCTGGTTCTCGTCTTCTCGGTCCTCACCAATCGGCAATCACCATCTCTCATTCTCCTAGTTCCTGCGTTCTCAAACCGACGCCATTCACGCCAAGATCTAATCGGCAATCACCATCTCCATTCCAATCGGCAATCACCACTCACCAGGTTTGTTCATTCTTTTTTGTTGCTAATTATTATCCTTTTAGATGCATTACTAGCCAAGGGCCATGGCCGACGATTATCACAGCTTGTTGCCGCATCATCCCCATTCACAAGCAGCAGCAGCAACAATCCCAAGGAGCTGTTAATATTATAGTCTTTGTTAGATGGTGATTGATTTAAGTGTGTAATTTGAGCAAAAAAACCCAATTCCCAACACTCCCACTTTGGAGTAATTGAATAAAGTTTGTAATTTCAGCAAAAAATTTCCTTG